CCACCAGGGCCCGGTGCTCAGCGCTGCTGCCCCCTGCTGGGCGGCCTCGTTCCCACCTGGGAGGGAAGCGTGGGGCCGCTTGCTGCCCATGCCATGGAGGCCGAGGACCCAGCACCCAGTTCATCCCTGTCCCCTGCCACAGGAGTTTGACCCTGGGCAGGATACCTACCAGCACCCCCCCAAGGACAGCAGCGGCCAGCGGGTGGACGTGAGCCCCACCAGCCAGCGCCTGCAGCTCCTGGAGCCTTTTGACAAGTGGGATGGCAAAGATCTGGAGGACTTGCAGATCCTCATCAAGGTCAGCACGTTGGGGCAGGGAGGACAGCCAGGACCTGCCAGAGGCCCGAGTTCCTGAGCATCAGGCAGGGCCGGGGGCTGCTGTGCCCTCCTAGGAGGAGGGACGGGAGATGAAGGTGGGAGCTGAGAGGGGAGGGCAGCGCAGAGTTCGGGACCCTGCTCCGTGGCCCCGGCCAGGCAGCCTCTACCCCGCTGGATTCTGGGGTGTCGGCCATCTGGCAGCAACTGGGGAGAGCCGCCCCAGTGGGTGGGCAGGTGCGGCGCCACATGCCAGCTCTAGGAGCCATCCATTCTCCTGAGGCTCTAGTCAGCCATTAGTGGGTGTGGCCTGCGTTTGGGAGCCTAGCAGCCACAGGCTTTATGGTGTGGCCAGGGGCCTCAGACCCAGGTCAGGTCAGACAGGAGTGTATCCTATTCACAAAGGGTCTCCAGGCACCCATGAGTCAGTACTGTGCCCACATGGCAGACCGTGGTGACACAGACATGTCCTCTGGCTCCTCTGTCTCTGCCATGGGGTCTGGTTGACTTTCCAGCCTGGACATTTCTGAGCTGGGGGCCAGGGCCTGCAGGGTGAACAAGTGAGCACCAGCTACCTTCCTGGCCAGACTGTGCCCCTGTTGAACGCCCCGTCAGTGAGGGAATGTCCTGTAAGGGAGCACCCGTCCTTGCAGGAGTGCTCCCGTCCTGGGAGGGAGCACTCCGTCCTGGAGAGCTTGCCGAGCAGCCCCAGGCCTTGAGGGGATGGATGAGGGCTGGGCCGAGTCCCTGTAGGCTGAGTGGCCTGCTGCCTGCCTCTAGAGGGCTTCCCCTTCATCTACCACTCATAGCCAAGCCCTGACCTCTGTCCTTTCTGCTCACCCGTCAGGTCAAAGGGAAGTGCACCACTGACCACATCTCAGCTGCTGGCCCCTGGCTCAAGTTCCGTGGGCACCTGGACAACATCTCCAACAACCTGCTCATTGGCGCCATCAACATCGAAAATGGCAAGGCCAACTCCGTACGCAATGCCGTCACCCAGGAGTTTGGGCCTGTCCCGGACACTGCCCGCTACTACAAGGTGGGTCAGAAGTGATGGGGGTGATGCTGGACAGCCCCTCTTCTGCAGAGTGGGAGCGGGGGGAGGAGCCAGCCGGGGAAGCGGGAGGAGGAGCCAGCCGGGGTGGAGTCCTGTGGCAGGTGAAGGAGTTGAGGCCCAGCTTAGGTGGGGTGAAGCCCAGTCCCTGCTCTCCTTGGAGACAGTGAACAATGCAGGCCCCACCTGAGAGAAACCTTCAGGAGGCCCAGTCCTGAGAAGGTTGGAGGAGACCTTGTAAGAGAGGAAGTCAGGGCCACCTGAAGCTCACAGAAGGAAAGAGCCCACAGGAGGCCTGGCAACAGGCCCTCAGAGGGTCCCAGCGCAGGGAGGGCCCGGGCAGGGCGGGGAGCACCGGGAGGGTCCCAGGGCTGCTGGACTCTATTAGAGAAACAGAACCATGGCACCCCCTGGTGGCTGGGACAAGGGTGCTCTGGGGTGGGGCCTTCTCCAGGTGACACTGCTCCAGTCCACAGGGGCAGCCCCACAGCCCCCGGGCTGACAGGGCCTCTCCCCATCCACACTTTGGCTCGAACGCCTGCTTCACGTGAAATGCACTTTGGTGCCCCTGCCCCCAGTGCACCCCAGAGCTTGGTCCTGAGTGACACCCCACCCACCACGCACCCCCGACTGCCTCTGCTGAGCACTGTGGGTCAGTCCCATCTTCCCATGCCCGCTGCACAGGGCCATGCCTGATCAGGGCACCCCTGCTTCACCTGCCCTCGGAGAGCAGGTGAGGGAAGGGCCCTAGCCCCTTGACTAGGCACCTCGGCTGACCCTCTGTCGGAACCTCACACCTTGCTTGCCTGGCAGAAACACGGCATCAGGTGGGTGGTGATTGGAGATGAGAACTATGGCGAGGGCTCAAGTCGGGAGCACGCGGCGCTGGAGCCCCGCCACCTGGGGGGCCGGGCCATCATCACCAAGAGCTTCGCTAGGATCCATGGTGAGCCCATCAGCCCCCTCCCGTTCTGACGGCCTGGCTGACCGGGCCCGGAGCTGTGAGCCCAGCTCCTGGCACGTCCACTGCTCGTGTGTCCCCCACGCCCGTGACCCTCAGCTTTCTGCCCTCTGCTCAGATTTGCCTCGGAGCCCCATATACCCATCTCTTTTCCTTCTGGGCAAGCAGTGGTCTTGCTTCCAGACCTGCAGGCCCACGCACTGAATCCCAGGACACCTGGGCTGACGGTGGTTATGCCCTGCTGCAGGGAAGGTGTCAGAGTCACTGGTGCACATTTGTTTCTGTCACCCGGCATTGGGAGCAGGCAGACCGGGCCTTGTGCCTCCCCCAGGTCCCAGGTGGATCTGGAGCAGGAAGCTCTCTGGCCCAGGGTGAGGAGCCCTGCCCCAACCACTGAATGTGCCCTCTGGCTTCCAGAAACCAACCTGAAGAAGCAGGGCCTGCTGCCCCTCACCTTCGCTGACCCGGCCGACTACAACAAGATCCACCCTGTGGACAAGCTCACCATACAGGGCCTGAAGGACTTTGCCCCTGGCAAGGTCAGTGGAGGAGGAGGTTTGCTGGGCAGGCAGGTCAGGCCATTTCCCTACATACCCCGGGCCTTCCTAAGGGGACAGCCACCCTCCCCTCCTCCTACCTGACCCCACCTTTGTGACAGCTGAGAGGGCCCTGGAAGCCTCTAGGCAACCCCCGGAGAAGGGAAGGGGGTAGGGCCAGCCAGGGCCCACAGCTCACCCCAGCAGGACCCTCGTGGCCCCAGCACTCTCCCTTGGGTGCACTCAGACCCACCCACACCTACTTCCCTGCCTCGCAGCCCCTGAAATGCATCATTAAGCACCCCAATGGGACCCAGGAGACCATCTTGCTGAACCACACCTTCAATGAGACCCAGATTGAGTGGTTCCAGGCTGGCAGTGCACTGAACAGGATGAAGGAGCTGCAGCACTGAGCCCTGCCCCCCGCTTCACCCACTGCCCGCCTGCCCACCACCTCGGACCCAGCTCGGTCACGTACAAGGGCAGTCCTTGTGCTTTGTCAGAACCGGAGCTGAGCCAGCCATAGCATCCTGCCCTCCCCTCTTCAGCCCACCGAGCACAGGGCCTCTCCAGCCACCGGCCTTCCCGGTTCTCTGGCTCAGACCCTGAGCAGTTCTATGCACTCTATTTTTGATGACAAGACACCTCCTAAAACGTCTAAAGAAGTCTCTCTCCTGCCTAATCATTTCACGGGTGGCTGAAGGACTTGAGAGAATCTTTTGTTCTTGTGAGGAAAATAAGAATTACAGAAAGTGAGACTACTGCTGTTTGCTGTTACCAGTCGGGCCCTGGGAGGGGCTTCTCAGCCAAGGTGGACACTGCAGCAGAGGAAATGGGAGCCAGGCACAGGTGGTCTCCCCCAACCCTGCCCTCCCGTCGGGGGTTCCTATACTTCCCTGGCTGGGCCCAGTGGAGTCTTCCAGAAGGCAGGCTTTCACCCTGCTCTTAAGCTAGAAACACAGCCTCCTAGGGCTAGGGCGCTGCGGCCCAACTCTGTGCCAGGCCACCTCATGCCCCCTCTGGGTGCCAGTATGCCAAGGCAGCGTCCTGCTTAGCACTGACACCTGAGGGTGGGCACAGGAGGGCCCTGAGAGTGTCTGCTCGAGGTCACAGCTAGCACATGCCCTGTCCCTTCACTCCAAAGAGGAGGCGACAGAGAACAGCACTGCCCACAGCTGCTGCTCCTTCCTGGGGTGCTACCAGCTGACCCTCCCCAACCCTTCGTACGCTGCTGCCTGGTGTGGGCCAAAGTGCTTGGGCAGGGGCCTGAGGCCTACACAGGAGACAGGCCCCACAGCAGCAACGTGACCAAGGAGAGACTTACTACCTAGTGGGTGTCTGGGCCCAGCCGAAATGGGTGAAGGAGCGGGAGGAACCAGGCCAGGCCACTCTGCTGAACCAACAGTGGCACCTGCCCTGGTACCCAGACCTGTGGCATCACTAGCAGACTCAGGCCATTCTTAGCAGGAGCCGAGCTGAGCTGGGGTGATAGCTGGCCCCAGGCCGCCAGCTGGAGTGTGGTCACTGCCCCTTCACCCTAGGCCAGGGCGCCTCACAAGTCTGTGATGAAGGGGCTGGTCTGGCTGAGCTTAGGGGCTACCCCTGCCCCGCCCCCAAATGCTGCAGGGAAGTAGTGTCCCTAGCAGCTAGACTTGGCAGCAGCTGGAGCTCCCGGTCCAGAAGCAGCTACCCAGGGCCGGCCTCACCTCTGTGTGACTTCACGGATACAGCCCAGGGCCCTCGACGACCCACAGGCCCGCCTGCCTTTCCTGGAGGGGGTGGAAGTCATACCCAGAAATGACTTGGGGACATGCCATCCAAGCTGCGGCAATCAATGACCTTAGATCACAACACTGGCTGTCGGTAGAGATGAGGGCAGCCCCCCACTGATGGGGCTACTGTTTATTCAGTGTCTCTGCTGTCACCCAAAGGCAGGTGTCCATGGGGCTGCGAGGCTCTGGAGGCAGCTCCTGGAGGAGAGCACCAGGGAGCTGGGGGCCTGGGGGCCTGGGGGCCGAGCTCTCCAGCTGCACCTCCAGCTCGGTGGGGAGGGCTGCTCCTGGCGTCTGTCTCAGCTGCTGCCTGTCTTCCGGCTGCACCACTTCCTGATGGCTGGGGCAGGTCTGCCAGACTGGGCAGGACCCATGGGCCAATCCGAGCTAAGTGCTGGTCCACCAGGAGAGAAGGCCCAGGCCTGGCTCACTAATGGAGCCCTGGGGTAGAGAGAGGAGACAGGCCCACTGCACTTACAGGCAGGGCCCAGTGTGGGCGGGGGGGGGGGGGGGGTGGATCCCAGAGCCCCACGGGCACAACTGGGGCACACAGCTCACGTCTCCCGCCCCACCTCCCACTGAGGCCTGTAAGGAGGCGGGCTCACAGGGGCCTGGCCACGGGCCCTAAGGCCTCAGCCAACGTCAGGTACACTCTTCCTTACCCTTTGGTGCCCAACTGCCCACCAGTGGGTCTAGTCCTGCCAGAAAGGCCCTGATGAGGCCCAGCTAGCAAACATGCAGAGGGGATATGCTGGCCACCCGCCTTTCTGACAGATACAGTGGCCTCCCCAGAACAACCCAGGGACCCCCCCATCAGCCCAGGCCCCTGGAACCCTCCTTTTCTTAGCTGTCACTGACCAGCATCATGAGGGTAAAAGGCAGAGCAGGCCCTAGCCAGATGTGGCTAAGGAGCCCCACCAGCACCGTTCGCCCACAGTGGCCGCCTCAGGCCCAGCCTGCCTCGACTGGGAGCAGCTCTGAGGCTCGGCCTCCCCTGAAGCCTTCCCCCTTGGCTTTACTCATCTCCCCAGCCCCTTCTCCCCTAAAACCCACTCACAGTGCCCCTGCCGTCCGTCCAGCTCTGGCTCTGGCCTGGCTGCAGGCTGGGCTCTGACTCTTGCCCACCCTACAACAGCTTTACCACACAACAAAGCCTCACAGCAGGCCTGTGACTCAGGTTCACAAGCCAGGCCTGAGAAACTGAGGCTCACAGGACAAGTGTGAGAACACCACCAGGCCCTGGACCCTGACCCGCTTGCTGGGGGAGGAGCTCTGGGAGCAGAACCCCCAAGCTGCCCTCCCACCACACAGCAGCTTCGGGACCTCACCACGAGCGTGTACGGCGCCTCCTTCCGGGGCAGCTCCTCACTGGAAGAGGTGGCCTCTGCTGAGCTGGGCCCAGTCGGGGACGTGTCCATGAAGCTCTCGTCCACCACCCGGAAGCGGACCTCCTCGCCGACGTCCATGTACAGGTCGTGCGCGCCCTCCTCGGTCTCGTACTCCCACACCCACACCTGCTCTGCTTCATCGCTGGCAGGACCCGGGGTCAAGGGGACAACCTGCCACGGGGGGCCTGTGCTGGCTGGGAGCGCTGGGGTGGCTCCTGGGTTCCCATAGGGGCTGACCCCAAGGGCATAGTGCTGAGGAAAAGCAGGCCCCAGCCCCAGGTGTGACAACAAGGACAGGGCCTGGGCCAGGCCTGGGTCCTGCAGTGAGGGGCAGGAGGTCAGAGGCCAGAACTCAGGCCGCAGCTGGGCACCATGGTCAGGAACACACACACCTTCAGTGTCAGAGTGGGAGGCCCACCTTGGGGTGGGGAGTGACCCCAGTGTCTGCCACCCTGGTGCGTGGGGTCCACTCCCTGCCCCTGAGATCTGCTTCCCATTGAGTCTGAGGCAGAGCCCACATGTCCCATCAGAGGCCAACTGCCAAGTTCAAATTCTGTCCACTACCCACCAGCCTCGTGATTGGGGTAAAGATGTCCCAACCTCTCTGTGCCTCACTGTTCCATCTGCAATGAAGGGATTGTAACCAGACCTACTAGGGTCATTGTGGGGACTAAATAACGTGTTTTCCAGCACAGACACACTAGCCTGAAAGCCCACAGCACGAGGTGAAGAGACCAGCCCAGGTCACACACAGGCCCAGCCAAAGCTGTCAGCCGACCCAAGAACCCCCTCAGGCCGCCCCAGTTCCCTAGGGTCCCCTCCCCCCCTTCACCAAGCCCACACCGAGGAGCCATGCTGCCCTCTGGTGGCTGTCCCGCCAGCAGGCTCCTGTCAGCTCTGGACAAACAGGCCACCTCGGAGGCACACTGCCTCTCTTCTGTGCCAGGCTGGGCACGGCGGGTACAGTTGTGACAAGATGGGGTCCCTCCCTCACAGTCCCTGTGAGGACAGTCAGGTTAGGAGACAGACTCACAGGAACACCAGAGCAGCAAGGTGAGGGCTGACGGACAACAGGGGAACCCAGGAGGAACAGTGAGCCCAGCCCTCAGTGGCCGGGGGTGGGTGACTCAGGCAAAGCTCCCGGGAACAGATCTCTGAGGAGGTAGGGAGACACAGCAGGAAGGGGCAGAGCCCCACGGACACCACAGCCTGCACCACCAAGCCTGACTGCCCTGACAGACAGACAGACGTGTGGACACTGTGATCAGTGTGCGAGATACAGGCAGGTCAGCACTTCTAGGACAAAAGTGGGGGCTGGAGGGGCAGGCCCAGAGGCCAGCGCCATCAGATCGCAGACCAAGGGGCACCCCAAGAAGAAGTCTGAGCTCCTTGTAACCCGTTTAACCCTGGGAGGATACAACTTGGCTGGCTGCTGCAGAGACTCCGGGGGAATGAGAATGTCATCAAAGAACCCGAGAGAGACTGGAAGAGAGGAAAGTGACACGTGGGGTGGGGTTCACGGTGGACAGTGACACACCGAGAGGCCTGGCACTCAGACCATGTCCTGTGCTCCCCCACCGGCAAGTGTCTCCACAGGACTCTAGGCCCCTACCCATCCTGGCCCCATGGCCCTGTGGCTTCTGCCCACATGACCTGCAGCCCTGGGCAAAGGCCACCACTGGTCACCAAAACCTGAGGTGGTGGACACTGCACACAGCAGGGACCGGTGGGCTCCGAGGACTCTGGGTCAGCGCCGCCAGCTTCGTGCCCAGAAGACTGTGTTCTGTGTCTGACCCAGCCCCTGGAGGGAGGCCCACCACCACGTGACACACTGGGTCTTGGCCAACAGTCAGGGCTGCCTCACCGTGCACCCCCTCCGGGCTGCAGCCTTTAATCTTCCCGATCAGAATCTCGTCCAGGAACGGGTGGAACACCACGTAGCGGAAATGGACTGGAAAGAAATAGGGGGCATCATCATCAAGGGGCAGGCACCGAGACGGGGCCGTTCCCACTTCCCGCCACTGACCCTGCCCACCAGCACCACTGCCAGAGGCTGACAGGGCTGCTCAGGGACCCTGCCCAGCGTCCACTCTCAGACCCTCTGGGCCCAGACCACTCACTGAGCTGCCGGGACCCTCATCTGTCCCTTTCAGGGCCCAGAGTTCGGCACCAGAAAAGAGGGCTGGCTCCCAGGTCTGTCCGGAGGGAGTCACACCTGGACCCCGATTCTGGGCTAGCAATAATGCCAACAATTCCAACCTTCTTCCAGGGTCCCCCTTCAGTTCCAGAAAGGGCTGAAGCCACTGGAAAAGGAGCCAGGTTTGGAAATGAGTTTCCTGCTCCTGCGATTGGCACCTGCCCCAGGCAGAGCACTGACCTGGAACAGGAAGCTAAAATTGCCCTGAAACGAGTGGAGGGCAGGGCTGGCGCCGAGCAAAACACCCAAGGAAGGAGCCAGGTGGGTTCTGCACTCACATCCTGGGCTTTGACCCCAAGCTGGAGGAAGCAGTTCCTTGGGCCGTCCCCATTGGCCTGAACCCCTCCAGGGATCAAGACTAACAAAGAGGCTGCCTGTCACAGCCCACCCTGTGTCGGAGGTCACGATCCCCCTGTGAGGACGAGGACTTGTCTTGGAAAGACTGGCAACCTGCTCCCAGCCACAGAGCTGGTAAGTGGCCCATTCGGCCACCAGGGAGCCACACATCTTTCTGTACCCACCAGACAGGACCAGCAGGTGGAATCCTGCCTTCCTGGCCACCTACTGAACAGGCTTAGTTAGTCCCCTAAACACAGGCTTCTGCCCTTGGCGGCCTGCTCTGTCAGCATCGGCCTGGCTCCCTGCCTCCTCACCCACCCTCGCACCCCGTGGGGAGGCAGGCAGGAGACAGCCCCTTGCTGGGAACTGTGGGTGAGCTCAGAGCCTCGCGCCGGCCTCCCGGAGAGCAGATGAGGGCAGCCTGGAGCCACTTACACGTGGAACAGAAAAACCCCATCCCCACGGGACCAAACACCCTGTTTGGATGGATAAGCCCTCACTGCCCTCCACCAGGCTTGTGCTGGGCACTGGGCTTAGAGGCTGTTCCCAGGGAGCGCCCAGTGGGGAACAACCACATTCAAAATCAGACAACACACTAAAAGGCTGTGGAGCGGAAGCCGGCCCTAACCCAGCCTGGGCTGGGGGAGCAGAGCAGGCCAAGAGGGGCTTCCCAGAGGCGGCTGGGCCCCGTGGCCTGGGACACAGGGCTGACCAGGTGGGCACATTCAGCCAAGCTCAGCACCACAAACCATGAAGGCAACATCCTGTAAGCCCTTCAGACGCACCAGGTGCTAGATCAAGAAGCTTCACGGAGTTTCTCTGCTTTAAGCCTCAGAGGTCTGTTTTTACAGACCTGGAGGCTGAGCCTCAGAGAGGGAAGGCAGCCGGTCCCCGGGTCACAGAGCAAAGCAGCTGAGGCCCCGGCAGGGGATGATTCCTCAACACACAGGCAAAGGCGTGGAGTCACCTGGTGCCCTGCGATGCTTCTTCGTCACACACTCAGCCATAAGCCCTGGGGGTGACAGCAGGGGGAGTCAGAGGAGAGGGGGTCCAGGGCCCGGAGCCCAGAGTCATCCCCAAAGCACGGTGACTCCCAGCCACACACACACAAAGTAGTAACTCACCCTGCATGGTGCTTGACGGGCTGAGAGGACCCTCAAAACTGCAAGCTCAGTCCCCACTTTACGGATGAAGAAACAGGCTGAGAGAGGTGGAGTTGCCCAAGATTCACATCAGAGCAGAGAGTCAACTGGGCAGAGCCCACAACACAGTCCACAAAGACGATGTTCTACACCACCCTTGGGTGAGCTGCAACGAGGCTCATAAAAGCTTGCAAGTGGCCATCTAAGATGCACTACTGCAGGAGTGAAGAGAATCAAAGACTCAGAGAAACAATTAGTCCAAAGGACTAACGGGCTTCACGAACCACAGCCTCCACTACCCTGAGACCAGAACAACTAGATGGTGCCCAGCTGCCACTACCGACCACTCTGATCGGGATCACGGTAGAAGACACCGGACAGAGCGGGAGAAAAAGATAGAAAAAAGTTCAAATTCATAGGAAAGACCAAACTCCCTGGTGGAACCCTCAAGACTGTGGCCCTCAGACACCCTTCAGGCCTGGAATTGAACTCACTTCCAAGGATCAGCTTTCAGCCAAACAACAGACAGGTCTACAAAGTAAATAACCACCCCAGGAAGAAACGTGCTCCTAAGACCAAAAGGGCAGCATATGCCCCAAAACAAAGCTCAGAAGGCAGCAAGAGGCAGGAAAGAGGGGCCATGGGAAGGGGGAGCCAAGGAGGAGGTGGGAAGAGAGCTGCTACACTGAAGAGATTGCAACCAATGTCACCAAGCAAGATGTGTACAGATAGCTGAATGGGAAAGCAATTTGCTCTTCAATTCTCACCCAAGTCACACACACATACAAGAAAGTCTTAAGTCAAAGAAAGCTTCTAGAACTAATAACGATTTGGGAAGATTGCAGGGCACATGGTAAATACACAAAATTCAACTGTACTTCTCTGTTCCAGCACCCTTAACAGTCAGAAATCAAAACATTCCACTGATAGCATCAAAATCATGAAACACTCAGATGTCAGTTTAAAAAAAAAGAACTGGCCCAAGCAGACAGGGACACTTGGCTGCATTTTTTTTTTTTTTTTTTTGCAGACTTGTAGCCACAGCTTGATTATAATTACTAAGTTTTCACAGGACACTGAATGTACCGCAAAGGGTTTTATGACCCTCTTTCTATTAGTTGTTCCCTGTCCCGCCACCCTGTGCATTCCAGGCGTGGAGGTGGAGCTGCTTGCCAGAGGGCACTCAGTGGGGTTCAGACTTTCTGGGTTGGCCAGCTGTCATCTGCTCATTTGGGGTAGTCTGTTGATAGGGGAACCATGGAGGCTTAAAGCTAAGGAAATACTACCTTGGAGGTGTGGAAGGTAGCAACCCAAAATTACCTGCCAACCAAAAATCAAAACCAAGCCCACTGCCACTGAGTCAATTCTGACTCATAGCAACCAACCCCCTTTGGGTTTCTAAGATGGTAAATCTTTATGGAAGTAGACTGCCCAATCTTCCTTCCGCGGAGCGGCTGTTTGGTTTGAACCGCCAACCTTCTGGTTAGCAGTCAGATGTCTTAGGCACTGTGCCGCCAGAGCTCCAGAGACCTTTACTTTGCAGTCTTGTTTCTGCTCCAGAAAGGGCTCCTAGTCCCACAGACACGGCCGTTCCCCAGGCTCTCATCCACAGGAGCCAATCAAGTCTCTGGATTCCCAGACACCGAGGCCAGGCAGCCCCCCATCCCGTCATCCTCCGTCCTATCCTGACAGGCTGACCCGCGTGCCTAGTGCAGGGGGCTCCAGGCGTTTCTCAGACGTGGGCTTGTGTAAAGATCACCTGGCACCTGGTTAAACAGTTAGGGGGTAGGGGCCACCTCCAGAAACTCAATTCAGTAGGTCTGGGGCAGGCGGAGAATCAACATTTCTAAGGAGCCTTCCAGGTCTTGCTGGCCATTCCCTGCCATCTCCAAAAACACACCCCTTCCCCACATGACCTTGCAGTGCCTCACACGGTGGAATCTCTCCGGTCCCTGATGCTGGCCCCGGCCACGTGACAGGCTTTGACCAATGAGAAGTAAGTGTATGTGACAGTGGCCTGAAGGGCACGTGGGCACTGGGGCCCCCACCCTGGTGCGCTCTGGAACCCCAAGCCTGCCCAGGGAGCGAGGCCCGTCTAGCCTCCCGGAGAGCGTGCCAGCCCAGCTGAGGCCCCTGACCAATCACCCCACGGTGCGGCCACCCCAGAGCGTGCAGCCCCAGTCCAGCCCGCTCAAGAAGCCTGCCAGCTGACCCCAGAATCCAGAGAGCAGTGAGCACTGCTGAGACGGTGCAGCAAAGCCAACTGACACACAGACGACAGCAAGGGGAGAAAAGCTTGAGAAAAGTCACGTCACTGAGCCGCCCAGGCTCTAAGAGCTTCATCCGTGCTAACCCATCAACCTGCACCAGTCCCGCAGCAGAAAACCGTCCATTAACTGCAGTTTGCAGTCTCCGGGTGAGGCAAATGGTTTATAACATGCCTAGCTGCTAACTATAGGGTTGGTGGTTCGAGTCCACCACAGGTACCTCAAAAGAACAGTCTGGTGATCTAACTCTGAAATAACAGCCGCTGGAGGTCCTCTGGAGCACGGTTCTACTCGTAACACACCCGGGGTCACGTGCCATCAGTCAGCCGGAACTGACGCCATGCACCCACGGGGCAGTTCGACTCTCCCTTACAGGCTCTATGAGTCAGAACTGACTCAACAGCAACGGGTTTGGTTTATTTACCCTGCTCAGAGCACACAGCAGGTAAGGCGCAGGATCGGGGTCTGAACTCGGGGCACGCTTTTACCCATTACACCCCACTGCCCCGCCAAGGCCCCCTGCCCCAACCATCCCCCTGCCCAGACAGGCAGCCGCACTCACCCCTGCACTCCATCCTCCTAACCCAGCAACGGTCACAGCATGCACACTGCCATCAGCTGGCAGCCCTGCACCAGACAGTGAGCGCCCTAAAGGCCAGCCCAGAGCAAGGCTTAGGTATAGATAAGACCACAGGGTGCCAGGACCCCAGAGCTGGAGAAGGCCCTCAGAATACCCTCTCCAACCTCTCATGTCTTACAGGTGAGGAAACTGAGGCCCAGAGAGAGAAGACGATTCCACTAGTCGATTCCTGGCAGAGTCAGGACTAGGCCCAGGTCTTCTAACCCCCAGCCCAGGACTCCCACCACCCTCAGCCATGTCTGGGGTATGTGACTTCTTGCTACAGGAAACCAAGCCCCAAGACCTCCAGTGCCCCAGAACACCCACCTTTGGTGTGCGATGCACCATCCCCCGGGAACACGTAGGCGTCCTCCAGCTTGGTGATGTCAAACAGACAGATGCAGAGTCCCACGTTGTACACGACCTGTGTGCATATGTGTACACACACGTGTATGCCCACAGTGACCCAACTCCCCGGGCAGTCTCTCCTGAGACCCTCCCACCACCAGGCAGGTCTAATTATCCCCGTCCAACCGACAGAATGGATCCGACTCAAAGGCAGTGCATTGCATTGCGTTGCAGACAGAATGAGTTGGGGCTGAAGCTGAGGTGACTACGGAGAAGAAACCTCAGAAGAACATGGGGCTCTGGAAAGAGAGCCTTTGATGCAAGACCGGCTAGGTTATAATCCCAGCTCCCCTGCTCGCTGTGTGACCTCTGTGGGGTCACTTCACCTCTCTGAGTTCCCTCAACTGCAAAAACAGGACATGCCAGGCTGCGAGCTGTTAAAGAGGACAGATGTGCGGCTCTGTGCTGGTGCCCGACACACACGCAGTGACACGAGTCAAGGGCGACAGCTTTTCCTTGTAAGGTGGGTGGTAGAGAGGCCTCTGGTTAAACCCACACATCCCACTGCCCCCAAGTCCAGGGTAGAGCCTCCTATCCCAGTGAGCGTCAGAACAGCAGCTAATCCCCACCCTGACTGTACAGTCTCAGACACACACCAAAGGCTGGCCCAATGACACAGCACCAGGGCCCTGAGCCAGCAGAGAACGAGGGGGGTACCAAGCAGCCCAGGCCCCTTCCCCACCCCACGTGCTCCAAACAGCGGGGTGCTCAGTGTCTCCTCATCTGCCACCAGCGCCACCACTCCCTGATCAGAGACCGGGCCGCACTGTGCCAGGAGTGAGCAGCTCAGAGACACAGCCAGGCCAGACCACACCGCCATCAGGGCACAGGCTGACCTGGCCAGGCCACAGAACCTCTTCTGAGCGGCCTCCTCTCAAATGACCCAAGTCCAGAGACGTGTCTCTCATCCCTCACCTACGTGCTGAAGGACTCGAGCCCCAAAGGAACTGCGTGCCCTTCAAGGACTTCTTCACACCTTCCCCCTCCCATGATGCTCATACCTGGTACCCCCACAGACCTCTCACCTCCTGTAAACAGCAGCCATCCGTAAGGCCTCCATGAGTTCTGCCCCCAAGTTAACAACCCCACCTCTATCCACCTCCCTGCTGTGGCCTCGGCCACCCGTCTAAAGCCAGCCAATCCTCCCTCCGGCTTCTTTCATCCCTTCACGTCTCAATGCTCTAAGGGTGAAGCCAGGCCCCGCACGGCCCAGCACTGGAAACGCCAGCTTCCCTCCCGTCTCGCCTCCTCCATACATGGTTCCTGCCACAGTACCCTTGCACGTGCTATTTCCACTGTCAGCTCAGCTCTTCTCTAAGCCTAGTTCCCTCCAACCCCAAAAATAAATGCCGCAGTTAGCTGTTCCTCACGATCAGATCTCAGCCACAGCACCACCTCCCAACCAAGCCACTTGCCTCCCCCCGATTCCAAGTGAAGTTCCTTCACTGCACAGGCTTGCAGACACATGTTCTTACCTTCGCTCACCCCAAATGTCAATACACATGCAACTGCTTTGTCCACCGGACTACAGGGCAGACACTCATCTGTTCATTTATTCAATCAACAGGCATATATGGAACACCTAGTACACACTTGGTACACAGTGTGGCTAGGTGCAGGGGACACCACAGAGAAGACAGACACAAAGTCCCTGGCCTCACGGACAAAGAGAAAAACATCACCAAGGAAACAAACATACAAAAACACGAAAGTTCGGAAAGTGCTAGATACACTCCTTGGAGCTATCAATCATGGGAGAACAGACGGGCGGTGTCTGCCCAGGGAGACAGCGCGGAGGGCGGAGTGCATGGGAGCGAAGGGCACAGGGAAGAGGTAACCATGGGGAGGAAGTGGGAAGAGAGCTATTACACTGTGGGGAACTAGTCAATGTCACGACACAAACTGCGTATGAACTGCTGTGTGGAAAATGAATTTGCTCTGTAAACTTTCACCCAAATTACAACAAAAATTAAAAAGAAAAAACAGTGGTAAGTGCTAAGGGGAGGGTGATGGGACAGAGACTAACTAACCTGGAGGGTTAGCACAGAAAAGGCTGGGGGAAGCCTCTGAAGAGCTGGCACGAAGGCACGGCCAGCTTGGCACAAAGAAAACGCACAGGTATTTCTTGCAGAAATGAATGAATAAACCCCCTGACCGTTAATTCTATGTTGCTAGAGCCTCTGGGAGTCACAAAACAATGTGGTAGGGCAGCAATTATGACTCCTATTTCAAAAATAGAAGCTGAAGCCCAGAGAGGGTAAGTGATTTGTCTGATGTTGCAAAGTAATTTGGGAGTGTGTAATCTAGCCATTCCCAGTAACAGCACTTTTTCAAATCCATTTTCTCCTTTGATCCCCTCTTACCACTTTGTAAGAAGCCCAGATGGCGCAGTGGTTAAACGCTCGGCTACGAACTGAAAGGTTGGAGTTTTGAACCCATCGGCCACTATGCATGAGAAAGATGTGGCAGTCTGCTTCTGTAAAGATTAACTCATTGTTGAATCGATCCTGACTCAGCGGCCCCTCCTTGGGTTTCTGAGGCGGCATCACTACGGAAGTAGATTGCCCACCTTTCCTTCCAGGGAGTGGCTGGTGGGTTTGAACCACCAGCCTTCTGGTTAGCAGTCAAGTGCCTTAGGCACTACACCACCAGAGCTCCTCCTGTAAAGATTATGGCCTTGGAAACCCTCTGGGCAGTTCTACTCTGTCCTATAGGGTTGCTATGGGTGGGAATCTACTCCAGGACAGTGGGTTTGGATGCTGGCTTTTTAAGCTCCCTTGTAAAGTAAGGATTACCTCCATCCCCTTAGACAGATGAAACCGAGGTTCTAGAGTTATGCTACTTGCCCAAGACCAAGGTTTGGCACCACCAAGCCCAGGCCTGCACGGGGTCTTCCGTGCCAAAGCTGACCCTCTACCCTGTGGGCCCAGTACCTTGTTGGCCAACTTCTTGTTCAGCTCCTCGGCAATGGAGTCATTGAGATTCCTCTCAAACTGCCACGGGGGGATTCGCACGGTGTCCACCATCTCCACTAGCATGAACATACTGGCCTGCGCTGGGGGGTCTGGGAACGGGAAGATCGGTCACGCCGGGGCCTGGAGCCAGTAGGAATCCCTGAGCCCCCTCTGTGCCGTCCTAATCGCTGAGATATCCCCCGACCACCAAGGCCGTCGGTTGGCAGAGCGCTAGGGTCTGGAAGTGCCCTGAGCAGGCCATGCTCTACCACTGCAATGGGAGGAAACAGGCCGAGCTGGGCGGGAGGTGGGGTATCATCCAGAGCCCGGGACGCGCCTCGGCTGCGCGCTTCCCTTCCCCACGCGTCCCGGGGCCACGAAGCCACCACGTACCGCGCTACCACACGCAGCCGCCCCGAGTTCAACCGGCTTTGGGAAAGTCTCCGAATTCCGTCGCTTCCGGAGAGCGGACCAATAAGAAGCTTCTGCCCGCCCCCCTACGTAGGGCGGAGTGACCTGCAGGCTGCGCGCGCTGGACCGGGCCAGGAAGTGGGCGGGGCCTCCTTTAGCCAGCCAGGCACGGTCAACCCTCAAGACCACACTTTTTGGTTGCTAGGCGACCTCTTTGCACTCCAGGTCGCGACGTCTCTCGCCTGGACTGTACCACACTCTCCAAT